GAGCGAGCCCCAGGCTCCAGGCCCCGATAAGCGGCCGCCAAGGAGTGAGCCGGTGTGTACCTGGACGCCCATCCCCGGACACAAAGAACCACCAACGCACCGATGTCTGAGGGAGTCCGCCACTGGCAGGGGAAGTGGTGGGGTAGCATTTCTAGGATGCAGAGCCTTCAGGTTTCAGACCCTGTGGAACGAGCTTTTAGTTTGGATTTCAGAGACAAACACCTCATGTATTTTAAAGACAAATGTATTTATCCCGTAATTGGGGAAATTGTACTTCTAAAGTAAACACAGCCAACAAACAAAATAATAGTTTAATTAATGAAGTAAAACATTTACTACAGATTATGACATCAGTGTAGATTAATATGGCAAAATTACTCAAAAACCAAGAAATAAAGATGTGTAAAAGCAATGGTTCTGAATTTCAAAGGACCCAGAACACTGCTGCTAAAACACAGTTTTATATTGGAGTGGTCTGAATTTGTCTTTTTATTTCTTTGTAAATTGTAGATAAAAATGCATAATTACTAGTTACCTACTGTAAAGTGATATACTCAGTAGTATAGGTATATAGTACAATTGTATATTAGCAAAAACTGTTAGCTATCTGTTGCTCCTGGGTCCTAGAATAAAGTCAGGTCAATTCTTAAAAACATAAAAATAAAAAATCCCTGCTTGGTGAAATGCACCCTCACCCTCCGGTGATTTGTGCCATGCCAGTAACATTCTGATGGCTTCTCCAGCATCCTGTGAAACTCTGCCATAGTGCTCCCAGGAAAAAGTAAGATTTTCTCCAGATCAACCACAATATCTAAACCTTGTTTGTATGTTTACAGCATGTCCACGTCCACGTGCTGCCCAGGAAGGCTGGGGATTTTAAGCACAATGACCGCATCTACGATGAGGTAAGATGGACAACTTTGGGCCATCCCTATTGGAGGAGGGGCACATTTGTTTTGTTCACCTTAGCTGTTAGATAAGGTTTGATTACATTTATGTTTGATACTTTAATGCATTTATACATTTATGTTTGATACTTTAATCATTTAAAAATTATTTTAGATTTGATTTTAACTAAAAAATGATTTTTTTCGCTGTCAGTCACTGTGTACAGGACACAAAAACATCTGAGTCAGTGTGGGCTTATACTTTGGTAAGCTATGTGAAAAATGTTAAGAAATAGTTGAGGGTACCAGGACTTGCATGGTTTTGTAAAAAATATGATCTGGGTACTTGATCACTCTGATAAATATCTCAGTTTCTGTGATGGGCAATCAGATACTGATGAGATGTCTGTGACACAAGACAGCCTATTTCCCATTCTCTCCTGCTCACCAGGAAGAACATAACTAAATGAAAACAGCACTATGGTGGCTGCTGACTTATCTTCTAGTTCTGCACAACTGGTATTGTTCTCCCAAGCTCATGCTCCAGTGTGTCACCACAGCAGTATGAAAGGACAATTCACTGCTAATGAGCTGATTCACATGTGGCTGCTAATAATGTTAATTAAACATCTGAGTTTGAACAAATATCAGTGAGCTATCTAACCCTCAGGAGCCAGAATCCCCAAACCAATGAACTATAGCACTTCACTATGAAAATAATGAACGTGCCTTTCAGACTATTTTAAATTTCACTGTGATATTTTGAATTTGTAACAAGAGAGTCTGTGGCAAATGAATATCAATGACTGGGGACTATGATATGAATATTCTAATAACCACGTCTAATAAAAAAGAGCTCTCTATACTTCCTGCTCCTGCCTAAGGGGAGAAATGAGACGTGCATCTCCACAGTGGAGTCCCAGCAGCAAAATGGAAATAGGTTTGTTTTTAATTTGCATGTGATCATAAGGTTTATTGTAAGAGCAGTGCCATTTATATTTTCCATATCACATCCAGCAAATGAGTCATAGTTTGAAGATGTTTGTAGGAGCGTAAATGCATAGACAGATTTGTCTTAATTTCATGTCCAATATTTTGCATGATGAATGTAATGGGTTGATACTTGGTTAGATTGGTCAGATTTCATGGCTCATTCGTTTGAGTAATATTTAATAGTAACATGCAAATGAATTATATTTTTTGGCACTGTAAGGTGGGGTGCTCATTTAGTATAATTAATTTATGTGTTTGTAAGGTAATTGTTGTTATTTATTTTTTTATCTTGTGTGTGTTTATTATTGCATTTCTACAAGGTGCAATTTGAACATGTACCAAGAAAAAAAAAGGAAAAAAGACATGAGATGCACGTATGTGTGTGGAGCCAACCCCTTTTTTGACCTCTTTGTCTCTCTTCATTCTTACAAATTTTGGCAAATTTGGAGGCTAAAAGGAAATCTGATGCTGAACACAAACAAATAGAAGCTGCTATAGACACTAGAACTGAAATGCATGCAATGCAGACTGCTCTTGCTGAGTCAGATGCAAAATTTGGAAGTTTTGCCAAAGTATAGCTATAAAGAGGACTTTGAACCCCACAAAAATGCTGCACCTGAGCCATAATAGCAGCAGATTTTAACAGCCTCTGGGGCCTCACCTAGCTCTGAGTAAGCGCTGCCCCCTATTTTCCAACCTTCAGCGGAACTTGCCTCACCCAGCTGGGTCAGTGATACTTTGGGCTCACATTGAGGTTTTTTAACATTAGTTAGCTGAATGATCGCTTTACACAAGTTATCAAACACCGGGCACTCACCAAAGTCGACATTAAACCGAGCTGATGTTCTTGGAGGAATTTCTCAGTTTTCAGTGATCCAAAACTCCAATCCAATACTCGTGTACATGTGGGCGTAGCCTGTGTCTCCAAGCAGTCTCAAGAGTGTGGTAGAGATACCAGGAGACAGATTATTACATGAGTGTGAATAGCCTATCCCTATGAGTACAGTAGAAAACTAGATTCTTTTAAATAACCATGTCATATTTTTCAGACAGGAAGTGACCACTTTGCAGTTCACAATTCACAAGACAAGCAAGTTATGAAGTGCAAGCTCCACCAGCTGTTTAGGTTTTACATATAAATCACTGTGTTGACCTGATGTGCTAAGTGGAACTATTTAATTGATATTTTGAACAAGTCGAGGAACAAATTCATTATGATGAGTTTGTCAATTTTAATTTAGTGGATCAGATTTTTACATTGTGCAACCAAAAACTGATCACTGGGTCTCCATACTGAACTTAAAGAGTGGTCTCATGTATAGTTTTGAAGAAGAAAATCTGCACTCTGTAAACATTTTTTTAAACCCAATAACAGCTGATATCTCAATGCATTTTCATGGACTAGTTAATACAGAAAACAATCCAAATTTGTTCTGACAATATATTATTACATATCACATCTTCATTGTCTTTGTAGTTACAAAACCACGATCAAGAGGATAACGACATACCATCCAAGTGGAGATCAGAGGAAGAAATGGCAGCAGAAGCTTCAGATCTGAGGAAGCAGCTCTAGAAACCTGAACCAATGATGTCAGTAATTCAATAAAGGCAGCACTGCCATGAACATAAAGTTAACAAATGCAATGTGAAATATAATAAAAAATATTATTGTGTTTTATTTGACTTAATTTGATTATATGTATATTAAATCCTCAAAATCTTTGCTGAATTATGCTGTATATCAACCAACAAAGTCAACCACAAGAAATCTAACTTTTGAATTTTTTTTTAATTGAATTGAAATTTTTATTTCAGTCAACAACAACAACAGATTATAATTTTACATAAAAGTACTCAAACAGTAACCGAAAAAGGAATAGGCTGAAGCCTTATGGCTTATACTTATCCTATCCCTTACCCCCATAGAAATAATCAAATCCTTAACCAAGAAAATAAATAGCATTGATAAATAAGTTGTATAACAGTTTGAAAAGAAATCAATGATAAATCAAGAAATTAAATCAACACAAAAAAATGTTAACAAACCAAATTTCTATAACCTTGTATAATACTAATTTTTAAAATCTTCCTGAAGAATGACAAAGAAAAACACATCTTCAGTTCATCATTAAGTCCATTCCATAATTTCACTCCCAAAACTGACACACATACTTAACATTAGTTCTCACTTTAGGCATTTCAAACTCATAAGACCCCCTCAAATCATATTTTCCATCTCTTAGTTGAAACATCCTTAAAATACAAATTGGAACATTCTTTTTCATCACTCGATATATCATTTCTAAAGTTTTAGAATATATAATGTCCATGAATTTTAACATAGACGATCCTACAAAAAACTGGTTGGTGGACTCCCTATATCCAACTTTATTTATTATTCTAATAGCTCTTTTTCGCAACTTAAATATTGAATCCAAATATGTTTTGTATGTGTTCCCCCAAATTTCTGCACAGTAGATCATATAAGGCAAACAAAAGGAAGTATACAATAAATAAAGGCAGTTCTTAGTCAAAAAATCTCTTTTTTTATAAAGAATAGAAATAGACTTGGATAATTTTCGTTTCACATGTTCTATGTGGGGCTTCCAACAAAGTTTATCATCAATAATTACTCCTAAAAATTTTGTCTCATATACTCTTTCAATTTCAACATTATTTAAATTCAATTTTACTTTAATATTACTTTTACTACCTCCAAATAACATAAATGTTGTTTTACTTTCATTCAATGATAGTTTATTAAATACAAACCATCTATTTAACTTCATGAGTTCTGTTTCCACTGTTTTCAGTAATTTCTTTATGTCTTTTCCTGAGCAAAATAAGTTTGTATCATCAGAAAACATCACATATTTTAAAGTATCACTGGCTGTACAAAATATCATTTATATGAAGTAAAAATAACTTAGGTCCCAAAACAGATCCTTGCAGAACTCCCCAAGTTACTTTTCTGAGTTTAGATTTCATGTTATTAATACTCACATATTGGAACCTATTATTCAAGTAACTATTTAACCACAATTGTACAACACCTCTTAAACCATACCTTTCACACTTCTGTAAAAGTAAAGAATGATCTATCGTATCAAAGGCTTTACGTAAATCAATGAACACACCTATTCCAAACTGTTTTTCATCCACAGCCGTTGCAATATTTTCAATAAATTCCATCACAGCTAGAGATGTTGAGCGATTTCTTCTGAACCCATACTGATGATCATTCTTTTTTTTTTTTTTTTGTGTCCCGTTTGGATCTTTAGCCATCAGAATTGTTGTCTTAAGGCCAAGAAAGATGCCAAGCGGATTTATTTTACCAAGTGGATCATCATGGCCTTGCCATATTGGTCCATTTGATTGACCTTTATTATAATTATGAATTTATTTTATTTTCAGTTGCTACAAACGGGACAGACATGACTGGGGGATAGGACAGGGAGAAAGAATGAAAGAAAGAGAGGGAGAGAGAGAAAACCAAAGGGGAGAAGAGACGGTGAGAAGGGGGGGAAGAAAGAAAAAAACAAACAAACAAAAAAAACAAAACACCTGGGTCACCTGTATGGAGAGAAAAAAAACAGAAGAGAAAGCAAACAACAAAGAGCAACATAATAAAAAAAACGGCACCATCACAATAAACTAGCTAGCAGTAGATATCAGTAGATACTAAATAATAAACGATATTGTGCAGCACGCAAGATAGACAGCGCACAATGTGCTTTGAGGCAGCAGCCAAGAAAGCTGTAGTCCGCGTCTGTGAATACCCGTGTGTACACCTGTGTGCATACCTGTGTGGATCAGCATGCTTGCATTCCAAAGGTTTCTCCATGTAACGATCTGCTAGGGAGTGTGGGGAGCCACAGCCCCGTCCTCCAGGGCATGAAGCAGGTATGGAGGAGATCAAAACTCCAGACATCCAGAGGCCCCCAGAACACAAGAGACCAAGGAAGACCAACAGAGGGGCAGCCGCGCCACTGTCCCAGAAAGAGCTGAGGAGAGTCCCAGATGAGGGCTCACTCAGCAGCCGCGGAGCAGAAGCCAGGGGGAGTTGCAGTGACGCGCCCATGAGCTCCGCCGGCAGCCAGCTGTGCCTGAGTGACCGAGCCCCAGGCCGAGAGGCCGGGGGCACCCCACCTCCGAAGTGGCCCGAGCAAGCCCCAGGCTCCAGGCCCCGATAAGCGGCCGCCAAGGAGTGAGCCGGTGTGTACCCGGACGCCCACCCCCAGACACAAGGAACCACCAACGCACCGACACCAGAGGGAGTCCGCCACCGGCAGGGGAAGTGGTGGTGGGTGGAGATAGGCCTCCAAACCTTGGAGGGCCTGAGATGTCCCCAGAGAGGTGGCGTCTGATACCCAACCTGACATATAGACACAGACATACAGGCACACACAGACACAAACATCCATTCCCACCCTCATGCTCTCATATGCACTTACTCCACACTCAACCAACGTGGAGACAGACATAAAGAGACGCTGTACACACGATCACACTCCCCAAGCGTACTCTACGAACCGGGTCTAGGTACCCCTGCCCCTGGAGGGGGGAACTGCACCCAGACCCAGGTGGTGTTACCCTTTTCCCTGCGGTGGGGAGAGGTAGACCGCCCCGACTCCGCAGCAGCAGGGAGGCCCCACACTCCAGACCGCAGTCGGACGGCCAACTCCTCCTCCTAGCCCCCCCGCTCCAGCAGGCCGCAGAGAATGGGGGTGAGAGAAGACTCCAAACCTCCCTCCACCCGCTCATTGTAGTGTTGATGCATGTGTGTTCTAAGGTGCAATTAAAACCCAGGAGGGCATGGAGCTACCTGCCAGAGAGCAGCAGGTAAGCGCATAGTCCCTCCTGCTAGCCCTCAATGTCTACGTGTATTTAAAATTGAGAGGTGGGCAACGACGCCAGGGGTGAGGTGTACACCCTGATGGTAATTTGGACTCCGTGTATCGTGCCCACCCCCAAGATCCTATATGTATGTGTAATGAGAGTGTGAGTAATGTGAATGTCTAAGTTGTGGGATAAAATTGAGGCAGAGGCAGCCAGAAGGGGACAGAGGGGGGGGTAGCCTCCTCTGCACCCTGGTGACATACCCCTACTCCAAGGCCCTGCATGTGTGGGTGGTTGTGGTGGAGCGGGAAGAGGGAGGCAGCTGGAGATGGGGAGGGAAGGAAGGGAGGGGCAAGTGACCCCTCCCTGGGGCCAGCTCCCCCGCTGACCCCAGTAGGCACCCCCATACTCCGCGACCCGCCAGGGAAAGGGGGCCCAGGCCCATCCAGACCGGGGCCCAGCGCAGCAGCGCCCCCGGCCCCACAGAGCCCGGGACAGTCCACCCAACCCCACCACAGAGAAAACTGCACCCACCCCACCATCCACTCATCTTCCAGACTACATGAGACAATAGACGCCCAGGCTGAGATCTTCCTCCACCTCTCCTGTATCTCCCCCTCCTGCAGAGAGTTCCTGAGGAGAGGAAAGCTCCTGCAAGGTGTGATGATCATTCAATAAATCATATTTATCAATAAAAGAATCTAGTTTGTTTGCAAATAGTTTTTCAAGAATCTTTGAAAACTGAGGCAGTAAAGATACCGGTCTATAGTTTGACACAATCTGTTTATCACCAGTTTTATATAGTGGGATCACTTTGGCAATTTTCATTTTATCTGGAAAAATTCCAGTTTGAAATGATTTGTTACAAATATATGTTAACGGCTGAAGGACACTATGAAGAACTTCTTTAATTAGCGACATGTCAAGGTCGTCACAATCCATGGATTTTTTACTCTTGAATTTACTCACCACTTCTACAATGTCACTCTCACAGACTCCACCAAGAAACATTGAGTTACATTTACAAGAAGTAGAATCTACTTCATCATTTCCTCCTGGTACAGAAATCTCTTTTGCCAAGTTGGGACCTACATTAACAAAGTAATCATTAAATTCAATAACTGTGCTCTCAGTATTCTCAATCACTACATTACCTCTTCTTACAATACGTGTTGGAGAACATATATTATGTTGATTTTTTATTTTCCTATTTAATACACTCCAGGTAGCCTTAATATTACTTTTATGTTTTTGAAGCAGCTGTTCATAATAACTTGATCTAACTGAAATATAAAAGCTACACAGTGAATGTTTTTTTCCTCCTTAGGTCAGCAGTATTGTACAGATGAAAGAAGGCAGTCACTGACATTTCTTTAATGAAACACAGAGGACATGTGTTTGAAAAGAGTAACCACGGTTCCTTACAGCATTACTGTATTATAGAATTTGTGTAGTATCTGTATTTGGACACTGTGCTTCACAGATTTTCAGGGCCAAGTAGATTGACTTCACTTTTGCCTGAATCTAGTATTTGAAAATAAAGGCCCTTCTGGCATTTATGTCTTATGAAACAGCTTGCAGCTTAACTAGGGTTTTTTTTGTATCATCAGCTAAGGTTTCTTTGAGTTTGGCAGTTTATTCCCTCCTGGGTATCAAAGTGTAAAAATCTTGTAGAGTACTCCAGAAGAGTCAAATGTAGTTGCTAAAGGGGCTGAATTAACTGTCTGAATGATTTTCTAAATAAGTTTACAGATTGAGTGAGAAAAATTCCTTTATTAACATTTATAAAAATAAAATGTATTAAAATATTAGATTAAATAACATTTAAATCAGTGACCT